GCTGCTGCTGCTTGCGATAGCGTCTCCAGTGGTGGTGTCATTCGAGCCTTCCTGCACGCCTCTGTCTCCAACTTGACCCCCTGCGGCGGGCGCGCCCTCGGCTGTTTCTGTTTCACCCTCGCCTCCTCCACCCCCAACTGCTGTACTTTGCGCCGGGGAGACGCTGCTGCTGAGGTCTGCACTCTCGCTCATGTTCCTCTCAAGCTATGTGACCGAAAGGAGTTCTGTGGAGGTACCTAGTTCTAGTTCTGTGATCGCCTTCAAGCTTTTTGTGGCTGTGGGGCAGGTGGGGTCTTCGGCGCAATCCTGACGTCATACCTCCGAGGGCACTACTGTACAGATCTTTTCGGTAGGGTACTGGGAGAGTTACAGAACTGTTTGTCGGTGGGGTACTGGGAGAGTACCGAACTTTCTGTAGAATCTCTGTATGAACTGGGGTCATATTCTCATCCGCTCATGCACACACGTGTTCTCCTTTTATTTTATTTTGATCGGTCTCCTCGACGCTCTTTCTCGTTTGGTGCGGTAGCTTGTCTTTCTTTCTATCATTTTGTTTCTCTTCCGAGTGGTTTTTGTCCTATTTTTTTCTGCTTCTTCGTGGGGTCGTGTATGCCGGGTTTTGAGACCACGGGCTCCCAATATTTTTTTAGCGCTAATGTGAGAAACAACAACAACAACAACAACACGAACAACACCCGGCCCGCTAACTCCTGTTGTGTTCACCCTCTTCTGGGCCACGTTTAAATTCGAAGGGGCAAAGGACGCTGCAAGTCGAAGCGAGGAGGGACCAGCACTCTCGTGTACCATCTGCTTGTCTATTAGGAAACATTAATACGAACACAGAAAGACTACCCATTCCTACATACCGGTATCAATATAGGCGTCTCCCTTTTTGGCTGGCTGGCGGGGGTGAACGAATTTTCGGTAAAAGCTTAGGGTTGTCGGGCATCTCGCCCCATAGCTGGAGCAGACTATATGAATGCATGACGCCTGAGGTGCTGTGTCTGTCTGTCGTGCGCACCTTTGAGACGTCGCCCACCGCAAGCGCAACGTCTCCCCCAGCCGCCTTGATTTCGTCGGCCACTTCTTGCAGTTTGTCCTCGCGCCTGGCTGCAATGACCACCTGTGTGTTGTAGGCATGTCGAGCAATGCGGACAACAGCGACAGCAGTGCAATTCGGTTTCAGGAGACGGTGATGATGCCGTCATGAATTACATGGTAGCACTTTTAAGGGCAGCTTTCCGTAACACAGCAACCGGTCCCGACAGCACATCAGACGGAGGGTGCCAGTACAGTCGTCCCCGCTTTAAAGACGCTCATCTTAAGTCAACTCCCCGCGATAAAGACGAAAAAAAATTCCGAACCATGGTGCCCCGCAGATATACAATATGAGGGGGGGTGTACTTTATATACTGCGGGGCCCCCCAGAAAATCGTGCAGCACACCTGTAGAACTGCACAGAGAGCGGTCTGCCACTGCTGATGCTGCTGCTGCAACCGCTACTGCGTGGATATGGATAGATTCCTTTCGTCTGCTGACGGTCCGTCTGCCGCCCACACGACAACGTGTGGTGAGCCACCATCGACGACCTCTGCGAAATGGTCTCCAAGATGTCTATGCCAGCCAGCGCCACGGACTCTAGATCCACGGCGCGAGTGTTGACGGACAACTTGTTCGTCGAGAAAGCCTCAGGCCTCACGGACGCTGAAGTGCGTCAGGCAGTAAAGACGTGGCTTAGTGTAGAGGACGACCCAGAGGTGTTGGAGGAAGAAATAGCAATGGAACTGCAGGCTGTAGACGAGCAACTGGCCGGCGTAACCCTCGATGACGATGTACCCAGCGAAGAGGAAGACGACGACGGTAGGTCAGAGTCGTGCGTGACAACGTCGCTTACAGAGGCCGACGTCCGCTTTCGCCTCGAGGAGTGCCGCTCCTTTTTGAATGCGAAAGGGAAGGACGGCGAGTACAGCGAAACGCTGTACCTTCTTTCGAGGACTGTGCATTCGTTCACTCACGAAACTCAAGTCAACCGAAGAGCGAAGCAGGGGGGTGAGGTGCAGGCCACTCTTGGCGATATGTGGGGGCGATAGTTTTTTTTTTCGGAGGGCATACAGCGATGGGCTCTTTTTTTTTATTGCTTCATCTTCACCGATAATTTAGCGTTGATGTCCATCTGAGTTTCGTGTGTAGGGTGTTTGTGTCTCTATCGCTTAGGATATACTGAAGTATCGTGTCAAAGTTGGAACCGCTGTGGTGAAGGATGTGTCGGTGAGGTTTTCAACATCAGGAAAACGAGAAGAAAATAAAAACAACACAGCAGGCAGCAGTCGCCACACAACCGAGAGAGTGCACTGCAGTCATAACAAAACTATATCCCGCAACAACCGACATGTCGGGAGCATATTATTGCGGGCGGTGGCGCGGTAACTTAAAACATGGTTTATAATATATAAATATATATAGTGCATTCCACTTTCAACCACGGCTACGTTGTGAGCGGTCAGATTTATGGATCCTCGTTTCGTTATAAGTTACGTGTTGCAACGGCGCGTCTTTTGATGTATGTTATGCCTCCATCGGCCCCGGGGGTGGTGCGTTATCGTCCCCGGAATCTTAAAGACGATTCCCCGCGTTAAAGACGCTTTTGAAAAAAAAAAAACTATGCGTCTTTAAAGCGGGGACGACTGTACGTTCGTACATTCTGCTCCTTGATTTCACTGCAGGTGAAACAATGATGAGCCCCCGCGTCCAACCCTGTAAGATCTAATCAGCATGCGCAAGAGGACGAGAGAAACAGTGGGCACGCCCTGTCTCTACAAATTGACAAGACAACCTTCGATGCGCACATGTATCGTACCTTGGCTCCTTCCTTGGCGAAGGCAATGGCGGTAGACTTTCCGATGCCCCCGGAGGCACCAGTCACCAGGGCGACGCACCCTTCAAGCTTCATGGTCACGTTTGAGCCTGGAGATGTCTGGGATTTGACGGGTGATGGGGTCGAGTTGAGGAGAGGAGACTGTCGGACTATTGAAGGAGGTTTGTGAAGTGAGGTTGGAGCAGTGTGGAGAGTGGGAGCCCGGGGCACGGTAGGAAAGCGGGGAGTACAGATCGGAAACGCCCCGCGGGCAAATCGCAGTGATTCGAGGATGAAAACGCAAAAAAATGGCTTAAGGTTCTCGCTTCTGCTCTAAGTGTAGTCAGTCCAAGACCCAATATCAACAATTGCGACACCCATTTTATGAATTGTGTCTGATCTGTGTTGTCAATTTTTCTCGTTTTTTTCCTGATTTTCGGTGTTGGTTCTATGTGATGACGTCGTCACTGGTTTTGTAGAGAGACCCGTCAGAGATGGCGTGGCTAACCCGGGTGCCTTGGTTATGTGCCTGATCGTGGAAGACCCCTTCAATGTGGAACGATTCTTAGCTATTGTCGATATTTTCACTGCGTGCCTAAC